TCTACTTTAAAGAGTCCTCTCCTGCTGATGTTCAGGTGTATATCAGTATGTAGTGTCTCTACTTTAAAGAGTCCTCTCCTGCTGATGTTCAGGTGTATATCAGTATGTAGTGTCTCTACTTTAAAGAGTCCTCTCCTGCTGATGTTCAGGTGTATATCAGTGTGTAGTGTCTCTACTTTAAAGAGTCCTCTCCTGCTGATGTTCAGGTTGTATATCAGTATGTAGTGTCTCTGCTTTAAAGAGTCCTCTCCTGCTGATGTTCAGGTGTATATCAGTATGTAGTGTCTCTACTTTAAAGAGTCCTCTCCTGCTGATGTTCAGGTGTATATCAGTATGTAGAGTCTCTACTTTAAAGAGTCCTCTCCTGCTGATGTTCAGGTGTATATCAGTATGTAGTGTCTCTACTTTAAAGAGTCCTCTCCTGCTGATGTTCAGGTGTATATCAGTATGTAGTGTCTCTACTTTAAAGAGTCCTCTCCTGCTGATGTTCAGGTGTGTATATCAGTATGTAGTGTCTCTACTTTAAAGAGTCCTCTCCTGCTGATGTTCAGGTATATATCAGTATGTAGAGTCTCTACTTTAAAGAGTCCTCCTCTGCTGATGTTCAGGTGTATATCAGTATGTAGTGTCTCTACTTTAAAGAGTCCTCTCCTGCTGATGTTTCATGTGTATATCAGTATGTAGTGTCTCTACTTTAAAGAGTCCTCTCCTGCTGATGTTCAGGTGTATATCAGTATGTAGTGTCTCTGCTTTAAAGAGTCCTCTCCTGCTGATGTTCAGGTGTATATCAGTATGTAGAGTCTCTACTTTAAGAGTCCTCTCCTGCTGATGTTCAGGTGTATATCAGTATGTAGTGTCTCTACTTTAAAGAGTCCTCTCCTGCTGATGTTCAGGTGTATATCAGTATGTAGTGTCTCTACTTTAAAGAGTCCTCTCCTGCCTGATGTTCAGGTGTATATCAGTATGTAGTGTCTCTGCTTTAAAGAGTCCTCTCCTGCTGATGTTCAGGTGTATATCAGTATGTAGAGTCTCTACTTTAAAGAGTCCTCTCCTGCTGATGTTCAGGTGTATATCAGTATGTAGTGTCTCTACATGTCTCCATGCTTTAATGTTCAAAAAGCTCTTTATTTGTCTCATACTGCCTGTGCTGCAGCACCTCTTTTCACCCTGTCTGAAACCAGAGCCCAGTCTGCTCTGATTGGTTAGCTGGCCGGCTCTGTTGTGATAGAGACGTCATGCCCCTTAGCCTATCACGTACAATGTGTTGGAGAGCTAGCCAATAGAAGCGTAAGTGTCACATAGTGATGTCATTATGTTACAGAAGTAAACAAAGGAGTCCAATGGAGGAAACTCCCTCTAGAGGTACTCAGGGATTTGATCCTACATGCACAAAAACTATATAACAATACAGGAAAGGGAAAGCACCAAAAAGCAGAATAGGGCCTCTTTAAAAAGGAACTGGGCATTATGTCTCGTTTTGTGAATTGGAGTTTTTCCAACTTGCTGTTTTTGGATTTAAACTTTGCCATTTTTAAGCAACATGCTTCTTGCTGATTTGAAACAGACAGATACACATAGATTTCGAGGGAAGATTCTTTATCTAGTCATGGATGAAACATGCTCAAAGCTGCAGACGACGTCGCTCTGAACTCAGTGACCCTCATTGGGAATGCAGCGTGAGATATGAAGTGGTAGCATGAGGAGGGTGAGGATGGAGGGATGAAGAGCCCCCTCTCCTCCCCTCTGTTGATGTACAAAAAAGAAACAGTCGCTTCCTGCAGCGACGGTCAAAGAGCTGCTGTGTCCCAGAGGTTGTGTGTGTGTGTGTGTGTGTGTGTGTGTGTGTGTGGTGTGTGTGTGTGTGGTGTGTGTGTGTGTGTGTGTGTGTGTGTGTGTGTGTGTGTGTGTGTGTGTGTGTGTGTGTAAAGAAAACGTGCCCTCTAACCTCTAACATCTCCAGTTGCACTCTGAAGCTTTGCCCTATTTTCTGCTCTCAGCTGATGAAAGGCCTCACTGAATATTTCAAATACTTGTGGTGCACCCTGAATCGCCTGTCGAGAATTTGTACACTTTGAGACAAAAACTCCCTGGGGAGGATGAAGAAGGCGTACAGGCTTCACTTCCTGCCTGCAGTATTAATTGCAGGTTTGCTAATAAAGCAGTGCAGGATTTCCCACAGGACGTCCTGTGGGAAATCCTGCACTGCTTTATTAGCAAACCTGCAATTAATACTGCTACAAAAATATGGATTATAAAAAGGTAAATATTGAACCAGAGGAGCGGTCTGTTTCAAACTGAAGGGTATACAGTCCTCTGTTTCAAACTGAAGGGTATACAGTCCTCTGTTTCAAACTGAAGGGTATACAGTCCTCTGTTTCAAACTGAAGGGTATACAGTCCTCTGTTTCAAACTGAAGGGTATACAGTCCTCTGTTTCAAACTGAAGGGTATACAGTCCTCCGTTTCAAACTGAATGCCACTGCCTCAATGAAAAGAGATCGGGACCTCACTTATATTCTGAATGAACACGGTGTGTTATGTTGAAGAGGATACTTTAGTTATTTTGTATATATTGGTTGAAGCAGGACGCTGTGGTTGTAATAGTTTAAAATGGGGACAATGACACATACTTTTGGACAGTCTTTTCTGGAAGGTTTCCGTAGTTAACCGCTGAAACGCCTCCATTGGACTCATTTGTTTACTTCCTGAACATAGTGACATCACAATGCAACAATTACGGTTCTTTTGGCTAGCGCTCCAACACAGTGTTCGTGATAGAGATGTCCCGCCCCTTAGCCTAAGCGGTTGACCAATCACAACAGAGCCGGCCAGCTAACCAATCAGAGCAGACTGGGCTCTGGTTTCAGACAGAGGGTGAAAAGAGGTGCTGCAGCCACAAGGCAGTATGAGAAAAATAAGAGCTTTTTGAACATTAAGCATGGAGACATGTCAGAGTAGAGACACTACATACTGATATACACCCTGAAACATCAGCAGGAGAGGACTCTTAAAGTAGAGACACTAACATACTGATATACACCTGACCATCAGCAGGAGAGGACTCTTTTAAAGTAGAGACACTACATACTGATACTACACCTGAACATCAGCAGGAGAGGACTCTTTAAAGTAGAGACACTACATACTGATATACACCTGAACATCAGCAGGAGAGGACTCTTTAAAGTAGAGACACTAACATACTGATATACACCTGAACATCAGCAGGAGAGGACTCTTTAAAGTAGAGACACTACATACTGAATATACACCTGAACATCAGCAGAGAAGGACTCTTTAAAGTAGAGACACTACATACTGATATACACCTGAACATCAGCAGGAGAGGACTCTTTAAAGTAGAGACACTACATACTGATATACACCTGAACATCAGCAGGAGAGGACTCTTTAAAGTAGAGACACTACATACTGATATACACCTGAACATCAGCAGGAGAGGACTCTTTAAAGTAGAGACACTACATACTGATATACACCTGAACATCAGCAGGAGAGGACTCTTTAAAGTAGAAACACTACATACTGATATACACCTGAACATCAAGCAGGAGAGGACTCTTTAAAGTAGAGACACTACATACTGATATACACCTGAACATCAGCAGAGAGGACTCTTTAAAGTAGAGACACTACATACTGATATACACCTGAACATCAGCAGGAGAGGACTCTTTAAAGTAGAGACACTACATACTGATATACACCTGAACATCAGCAGGAGAGGACTCTTTAAAGTAGAGACACTACATACTGATATACACCTGAACATCAGCAGGAGAGGACTCTTTAAAGTAGAGACACTACATACTGATATACACCTGAACATCAGCAGGAGAGGACTCTTTAAAGTAGAGACACTACATACTGATATACACCTGAACATCAGCAGGGAGAGGACTCTTTAAAGTAGAGACACTACATACTGATATACCCTGAACATCAGCAGGAGAGGACTCTTTAAGTAGAGACACTACATACTGATATACACCTGAACATCAGCAGGAGAGGACTCTTTAAAGTAGAGACACTACATACTGATATACACCTGAACTATCAGCAGGAGAGGACTCTTTAAAGTAGAGACACTACATACTGATATACACCTGAACATTCAGCAGGAGAGGACTCTTTAAAGTAGAGACAGTACATACTGATATACACCTGAACATCAGCAGGAGGGGACTCTTTAAAGTAGAGACACTACATACTGATATACACCTGAACTTCAGCAGGAGAGGACTCTTTAAAGTAGAGACACTACATACTGATATACACCTGAACTTCAGCAGGAGAGGACTCTTTAAAGTAGAGACACTACATACTGATATACACCTGAACATCAGCAGGAGAGGACGTCTTTAAAGTAGAGACACTACATACTGATATACACCTGAACATCAGCAGGAGAGGACTCTTTAAAGTAGAGACACTACATACTGATATACACCTGAACATCAGCAGGAGAGGACTCTTTAAAGTAGAGACACTACATACTGATATACACCTGAACATCAGCAGGAGAGGACTCTTTAAAGTAGAGACACTACATACTGATATACACCTGAACATCAGCAGGAGAGGACTCTTTAAAGTAGAGACACTACATACTGATATACACCTGAACATCAGCAGGAGAGGACTCTTTAAAGTAGAGACACTACATACTGATATACACCTGAACATCAGCAGGAGAGGACTCTTTAAAGTAGAGACACTACATACTGATATACACCTGAACATCAGCAGGAGAGGACTCTTTAAAGTAGAGACACTACATACTGATATACACCTGAACATCCGCAGGAGAGGACTCTTTAAAGTAGAGACACTACATACTGATATACACCTGAACATCAAGCAGGAGAGGACTCTTTAAAGTAGAGACACTACATACTGATATACACCTGAACATCAAGCAGGAGAGGACTCTTTAAAGTAGAGACCCTACATACTGATATACACCTGAACATCAGCAGGAGAGGACTCTTTAAAGTAGAGACACTACATACTGATATACACCTGAACATCAGCAGAATGTGTCCTCTTTAAACGTAATTGCTTATTAAAGTCATTTCGTTGAGATAAATGTTTGATATCTTGAGCTATATGATAGACACCTTTTACCTGCAGCAACATGATGTCACCATTGCAGTCCAGTGTAGTTTAATTCAACAGTATTCACAGAGGTGGTCTTGTGATAGACCGAGTGTAGTAATAGTAGTTAGAGTATCTAAAAGGGTTCTTAAATGTGCCACTATACACAACATAGGCGTTTTGGCATTCCTGTCAATAACACCACATCTAGTTTGAGTGGTCGGTGCTTCCTTGTCCAATTTAGTTTAAAAAAAAAGCCAGTATGTGAAATGACAGAATGCTTTGTGTATTAATTTCAGAGAAGCTTGGGCTAGATAAATATATCGTGCGGCCCCTCCCGGCCCCTGGGAAGGAAGCAGAATATGAGTGTGTGATTTTAAAGGAGAGCTGTGACAGCAGAACAATATCTCAGAAACACTGCTGCTAATTACACGCTGCGCTGCGAGCAGATTACTGTTTGGTCTTAGACCGCTTCGCAGGCTGGTTACTTTCTGTGTGTTTGAGAAATAAAAACATACGGAGAGAAATTAAAGATGTTTAGATGCATTTATTCCGAGGTCACTCTGTGCCGAGCTGAAGGCATGGTTGTTAGCTCCAGCAGAAGGCTCTGTTTTGGGTTTGTTTGCTTTTTTGTCAGGAATATTATGAAAAAACGACTGACCTGATTTTGATGTTTAAAGGAAACTTAAAGGAAAGGTGTAGCCGAAGCCAAATCCAAATCCATAAGAAATTGGAGTTGATACAAATCACAAAGCAGATTGTTGTTCCCTTATGGAAACTTCCTTGAGAGTCAGAAGTCTCTTTAATTTGTATTTGAATTACACCGGGCAGCGGCACACTGTGAACTGTCTGGAAGACTCGGGTCTAACTCATGGTCTAACGAACCTTACATAAAATGAAATGTCAACAACAGGGCTTGGGAGCAGTGGTCGCACTCGCGTTAACCAAATACCCCCCCGTCAGCGCGAGTGAGTGATTTGTGCACTCGACGGGTAATAATGGATTATGACGGAAATGTTACGATCCTGTCCGTCAAAATGACTGACAACGAAAAAGTCTAAAGCCACCACTGCTTGGGAGAAAGAAACGATGTGATATTTGGGCCCATTTTCGCTACAATGAGGCGGAGAAAAAAAGCGAATGCATTGTTTTATCAGAAGGGAAGCAATGTGGCCAAAACACAGCTGGTCAAAACACCACAAACCTGAGCAGATACTCTCTGCAAAGCTTCTAAATCATTCAACCTGTGTTTTTCATCAAATAAGGACAAGATATAATCCTATTTATTTATATATACTAAAATGACAAATGATTGGTTTTGGCTAGACTAGTTTGACTGAAATGTTCTATATAATCTGATGACTAAAAAAGACTCAACAGTTTTCATTGACAAAAAGTAGACTAAAATAATTAGTTTTCTTCGACTAAAATAAGACTAAAATGCTCAGACTTTTAGTCGACTAAAACTTGACTAAATAAAAACAGGATGAAGGTGACTAAATATGACTAAAACTAAAAAGGAAATTTAACACAGGACTAAGACTAAAACTAAATAAAAAAAATAGCTGACGAAATTAACGCTAGACAATAGGAGGGTTAAGGGATTACAAATGTGTAACACTGCACACAAGACATGATAGAGGGCTCCTTAATTCTAGCCGTGATTGTTCTGCTTCCAAAGAGGTGCAGAACTTTAGTATTAAAAGAAAGAAAAGAAATGTGAGTAAAATGTGGGAGGAGCAACAAATGCAATGCAACTGATTGGTGTACAGGAGAACATACTTTATATATGAAAGTATAAGTCTAAATATCAATCAGGCACACAAACACACACATTTGTTGTAACGTCACGTGAGGCTGGTGTAGAGAAACCTGCACGTTTGTGGTCAACCATGATTCCAGTCTCTCAAACTCCACATCAGCAAAGCTCTCCTCACCACACCGTCAACAACAGAAGTGATGCTTTCAATAAGACCGTCAGGACAACCACAAAAACAACCAGCAGAGAGAACCTCTCAGTATCTCTGAGAAACCTCCCGAGTGACAGCGGCTTCTCTAAACAAACCAAACTGCTGATCAGGCAAGAGGGTTTTTTCCACTGAGTAGAGACAGGATAACATCTCACGTTTTTATATCATTTTACCCCCGAGCAGAGATATCATTTACTCCGGGACAGTGAGGGTGTTAACGCTGCCAGTCCCATTTTCTGTCTTTCATGAGGAATGATTTGCTTCAGGGCTGCATTTCAAACTGTCCTGATAAGACGAGAGGGAAGCGCAACACACTGAGGCTCTTCTGTGTTCCTCTGCTGACACACAGATACTGAAGATACCCAGCAGGCGAAATAAGCACACTCAATAGAGAGGAAGCGGTAATAAATGTCAGTATCAAACCGCTATTTGAGGAACTAAATACTGCATAAGATTAATTGTGCTTTCAAGAGGCATGCATTAACTTGAAGCCGGATCAAACCAATGGATTAGGAGGATTTGATTCATCTATGAAATCCAGATAGATGCGTGATTTAGAGATCCTTCAGTAGCAACATCCAGTATTACAGCAGCAGCTCAGTGCGAGATATATAAGCAGGCGAGAGAAGTGAAACATCTTTCTGTGATGAAATGTGACTAAATGAAGCCTAGGTCTTAGGTTCCTTCCCTAGTAGTACACACATAGTACACACATAGTACACACATAGTACACACATAGTAGAACAAAGTACGGGAAGTCATTGTCTTTGAATGGAAGATACATTCCAACTAACTGTCTCTAAAGTCTGTACTAAACGGGGAAAAAGGAAGTTTAAGATTCAAGTAAGCGTGTGTGTGTGTGTGTGTGTGTGTGTGTGTGTGTGTGTGTGTGGCCTAGCATTACTATACTTGTGGGGACCTAAATCTGTTTACACAGTCACGTGTGGGGACTCGCCTCCCTTATGGGGACAAAATGGAGGTCCCCATGAGGGGAATCATTCATTTTAGGGTGAAGACTTGGTTAGGGTTAGGCATGTGTTGGTTAAGGTTAGGATAAGTCTCCAGGAAATGCATGAAAGTCAATGTTATGTCCCCTGAAGTGATGTATACATGGTGTGTGCGTGTGCGTGTGTGTGTGTGTGTGTGTGTGTGTGCGTGTGTGTGTGTGTGTGTGTGTGTGTGTGTGTGCGTGTGTGTGAGTCTCTTTCTGTCAGGGTAAAACACCTAAAAAATGTGGGATGTTAAAAAGTTCAGGCCAAGACAAGCTCTGTCTTTGTGTGCAGAGCCAAGCTGTTCATCATCAGAAATAAACAGAGAGACTAAATCTGCTTTTTATGAGACGTGGGGGGTGAACGCCTTCAGACACACACTTCTTCTTCTTTGGTTATGTTTGTGTGCCAGTAAAAGACGAAAAGTGCCACAAAGCCTCCTGCAGACTCACCAACACTAAAGGAACATGCAGAGGGCTCTGACGTTGCTGACAGACAACAGTCATTAGCAGCCATGAAAACAGTGTTTACCTCTATAGGACACCTTAACATTACGCACAGTGAGCAGAGGACAAAAGCCTATAAAAACAAGAATGTTAAATGCTGACATTTGCAGCGTAAGCATTTCAGTCGTTGACACTGCTAGGAGAAACATTATCAACAACTAAGAACAGGTAGGGATTCTGCAAGCTACGCATATTTGTTTTCAGAGAGCGGTTCAAGCTGCTTGTGTACTGTAGATGGGCGGCACCGCAGTAATCCCAATCAAAGGAATAAAGCAAATTCCTCCAGGCTACAAAAGTCTTCAGTCCCTGAGGCATCTGTAACCCTTTATTTCAGCTAATAAATCTGAGATGTAAAGGGTGGGATTTATATTTAATACACAGATATAGGGCATGGCGATAAAATCTTCTTTCTGATTATATAAGAAAAGCCATATAACCTCTGTCACAATACAGCATGTTTTCTGGTAATCCAATAGATGAATAGTCCATATGAAATAACCACTTGAGCTTTGAGCATCTTCTCTCAGAGCCTCTCAGGTTTCTACTCCCTGAAACCTTTTGAAAAGCTGAATTCAGGAGCTCTTCTTTATTTATTTTCTCATCAGGATGCATGGATCAGGCGGCTGAGATGTGAAACACTCACAGCTAGCTGCTTTGAGGATCTAAATCCCTGAGATCCAAGAGGCTGACAGACTTCAAAATAAGCCCTGAAAACAGCTGCTGAGCCCACAAAATTAAAACCCAAACACTTCCAACACTTCATTTTCAGCCCTTTTAAAAAAAAAACATCTGGAGAGTCAGGACTGCAGGTTTATCAGACTCTCCCTTTAAAACATGTAGCACACAACAGGACGCTGTTTAACTAACTGGAAGTAGTGTGTTTGGTTGAGGCGAAGAGCTGCAGCCGGGTCGAGCTACAGCAGGGGTGTCAAACTCAAGGCCCGGGGGCCAAATCCGGCCCGCGACTTCATTTTATGTGGCCCCGCAAGAGCTTGCAAAGAATATAATATGTTTATTATACGGTTACATGGCGATTTACAGAAGCAGGTTGCCCATAAACTACATATCCCACAATGCATCTCATTTTGTGACATGCGCACTGAAGAGACTTGTAATTATTTGCCCTAGACTGCTGCATTCAGACGTAAGTTATTACCCTATCCGATAATAATCCAATGCAGAGGCAATAATGTAATATAATACATTATTTTATATATTTATATTGTCTTAAAGTTACAACCGGCCCTTTGAGTGCTAATACTATAGCATCCATAATGCTAATGTGGCCCGCGATGAAATTGAGTTTGACACCCCTGAGCTACAGGATGCAGGACATGACTCTGACTACACCGCCGGCTCGTAATTTGGTCAAAAATAACCGAGTCTAAGACGACAGTGAGGGGTTAGATCAGATAAGATGAGGTGGTGAGCGTCGGTATCCACTCATGGGCTCAATCAGACATTACACTGACTTTGTACTAGGGATCAGAAAGGGTACGTTTGTTTAATGTTTGGCTCGAATGATTCAGACATTTTGGTTTTAACATACATCTCCTCCGGGTATCACAGTGGAGTCCTAAACCTGGAAATGAGTCAGTAATTAACCTGTTAAGCCCCAAGCCTGTTTTCCAGGTCTCCGGCTCAAAAAGGACATTTCCAGAACAAACGACCATAACTACACTTCTAAAAGGGGAACATTAATAACCTTTTTTCTCAAAGTAATGATAAACCTGTGAGTTGGATGTAGAAAAGTCAGAATCAATTTCTCTGGAACCCATTGGTCGATTTTGGTGAATCGAAGGGGAATTTCCACATACACACCAAGTTACCATGGAGAAATGAGGGCTATGCGCACGCAGTTTGCCCAAAGCGATTTTACGCTCTGAAATCTGAAAACTAGTTTTATTGCTGATGGATTATCAGAAATCATTTCAAAGTGACAGACACATTGGATTAATATGGATTAACCTTCAGCAGCGTTTTTATCGTTTTAATGCCATTGAAGATCACTTTTGATCAGACAACGACAAAGGTAAGACATATTGCCGTGTTTGCTACCTAATCCCATGTGTTGTCTGTTTTTGTTTATAATGTTGCGAGTTCTGATCATGGAGTGATGATACAGATACCCATCGATTCTGTGTAATCTCACGATGCTAATCGATATGTTAGATTTGCATTTACGATAAGTAATAAGGGTTTTGAGTGAGTTCTGTGCTAACGGCATTAGCATTTTTTCGCTCAGGGCTAATTCAGAGGCTTAGCGTTAGTCTCGTGTTTATTTTTGCTAAAAATGGTTCATATCATCAGTTAGCTGAGTTTCTTCCCGTTACATGGATATGAAACATTCATAGTTTATTACATATTAAGAAGCCCTCAGACGCCGTTTCCTGCAGATGATGCGTTTTTCCGGCGGCGGATGGGGTTTAACAGGTTAAGCTCTTCCGTGTCCCCTCGTCTCAAAGTCAACCATTTTTGTATTAGTTTTTGGTTAGATGCCTTAAATAAGGTCAATGGTAAACACGACAAACGACAAACTACGTGGAGTAAATACCCCACTAGTGAATTTTAAAACGGCGGTTGTTGACAAGTGTCCAAATGAGACGACTAAACGTCATTAAACCAAACATTAGCTGCCGTTAGCTTAGCGCTGGTGACATGAAGTCATGTGATAGTGATGTATTTAGTTTGTTGCCTAACTTTAGATTTATACTTGTGGCAATTGCTTCAAAAGCCATAAAGGTGGTGTTAGTGTTAACATGTAGAGATTATCCTGCTGAACAAAATGTAAAAGTATCTCAAACCTAGCGTACATGGAGACTGTTGCTATGAGGCCGGTGTCAAACTGGGGACAGGCTAAAAGCCAATATTTGATCTTTGCTATAAAAAAAGTGCGAAATTGTAGACTATTTCTAATTCACAAGGGCTTTAATCGAGCTTTCTGCTTGGTTCTGTGCTGCATTTGATCTGATACTAACCTCTTTTGTTACCACTTTAACTCCAAGTACACCCAGATGAAGTCAGACTGAGGCCTCGAACATACCACAAGTCAAAGAAACACCTGCAGGTTTCTGTTTGTAGACTTTATTAGTCTCACACACAGCGGTAGGTTCAGGGTGCGGCCTTGAATCTGCAGAGCTTCCCCAGAGAAAGCAGAAGTCTTTGTCTGTGTGGTCAAGTTCAGTCAAGTCTCAAAGAGGAGAGGAGGAGTCGTCCGGTGTTTGTTTTGCCCGAGGGGAGGAGGACTGTCAGCTGCTCAGGTAGCTTTGTTTAGTCAGACACTGCTTTTAAAATATAATACACCCCGAGGCTACGTTCCCATCCAACATGGAACCATTACTGTGTGTGTGTGTGTGTGTGTGTGTGTGTGTGTGTGTGTGTGTGTGTGTGTGTGTTGTGTGTGTGTGGTGTGTGTGTGTGTGTGTTGTGTGGGTGTGTGTGTGTGTGTGTGTGTGTGTGTGTGTATTAAACACTTCCACAGATGTCAAGAGGTAAAAATGGTTCTGATTAAAAAAGCGTGTTTGCAAATTGTTCACATGTATGATGAACATGAATACTGCCTTTTTGTCTTCCATTCCATACGTCAACATTTTTATCTACATCTTAAGTAATACTGTCAATAATTAAAACACATCTTTGCTGTCTTTTCTTAGCTGAGAAATTACAATCTCACCGACAGATATGATCAAAAATGTGTGTTAAACTAAACATCTATAACAGTTAATCAGGTTACAAAGTATTTTTGTTTTTATCACGCCTGCTAGATCCCCGTACGTACACCGGACAGCCCTTGAATTCTTATTAATGTAAGAATAGAAGTTATTGACATAATTGACAACAAAATATTCAATTGTCAGATTTTTGCTGTATTTTGGTTTGAAGTTGCACACGTTCCTTCACTATTCTATCATTTACTAAACTTTCACCATAACATGTAACTCATAAATGTTGAAATAAGAGGTGAAAAGGATAAACAGGTAAACATCATTTACGACTCTGCTCCAGCCACACAGGTGATTTTTATTTGTTCCGAAAAGACACTTCAGGATTGGGACTGAGGGCATGTTTGACATTTACCTCATTCTCACTTTGATTTTGTTGCACCTGATAAATCGGGAGTAATTAAATTGAGCAAACTAATTTATATTTTTTCTTGCTTTCCATTTAATTTGACATCGATGTTCTTCTACTTAAATAAGGTAAACTTACTTCACATCAATCTCAGCATAACTCAGAACATAGTTGAGGTGACGTCTTTTGAATATGACTGAGATGATAACGTTATATATTGTTAAAGAACAAAGTGCTAATATGTAAAGCGACATGTAGACAGTAGCAATGGTTCTGGTGTAGCCAGTGATGTGCCGGTGGCTCTCAGCCAAACGTTAACAAAGACCAGACTCACTAATTGCTGCGTGTTCAATTAATGACACATAAAACACTAATGTGAACCACAGCCACTGGAACAACACACACTTTACACGCTCTCCATGTTGTTGAACACAGCAGCTCACATACAACTAGGCTTCAATGATGACTTGCTTCTTTAAGTAAATGATTTAATCTCCATTGCAACACGCTTTAAAGTACCATTCAAATCTGTATGTCAGTGCTATTCAATTGGCGGCCCGCGGGCCAAATCCGGCCCCGGGGTGATATTTACTGGCCCTTTGAGTATAATGTTGAAAAGTAATCTACTGGGCCAGAGTGCCTTTATTCCAGAGAGGGGAAGACATTGAGAGATAGAGGGGAAGACAATGCCTGAAAACTTCTGCGGGCTCGGGTTTCGAACACAAGTACTAGCTACTGTAGTGACAACTCCTGTCATTTATTGCATCTCTGTGTGAATGATTAGTTCATTTCACCTAAATTAAATGATGTTGATGGTTAAATTAGCTTCACATGTCGGCCTACTGAGTTCTGAACTTGCCATTTAGATCTAGAAAGGCCTTGGGGCTATGTTGTTTGATTTAATTAAACACTATATGCACTGCACTATGCTGTTGTAGTATTTACTGCATTTGAAGCTCTTAATATGATTCTTTTTCCCGGCCCCTTGCTTTGGATCATTTTCATCAACCGGCCCCATTCCAAACTAATTGAATAGCCCTGATATGGTATGTCATCCTTCATCTGATGGGCGAGCTGCTAAAGAAGCAGAGCTGATAAAGTGTTAGAAAACAAAGATCTCATAGAACCAAACAAGATACTTGTGGCTCTGGCGAGGACACAACAAGATACTTTTATCCTAAGACATTTCAGATTACAATGGGATCGCAGTCTGCTACAGTAGAAGATGACGACACAACAAGCTTCTGATAAAGGAATAATGCAACAGATTTAATGTCTCTTTGGTTAAGAGTAATTTTCTCTCTCGACATACCAATGACAGTCCCATTTCTTAAACTGGTATTAGCTCTTTAAGGAAGTAATTCATTATTTCTGCACCATTGTGATACTTGTACAGTTTTCTTTTATTTCATTGTATGTCTTATCTATGTTGTATGTTGGGTGTGTGGGAGAGAAACTCCCTCTGGAGGGACCACAGCCATAATAGGGCCTTCAACCGTCAAGGCTTTCATTGCCAAACTACACTGTACCTATTGTGCATATGAGAACAAAGCCTGTGTATTTAAATCAAAACAATTAGTCCACTAAGAAGCTCATCCTCATATACTTAAGTACGGACGTAGTGATAGTTTCAGGAAAAAAGTACTGAGGTTTTTCCAGAAAGGGAAACAGGACAGTACGTTCTGGCAGAGAGATACTTTACTCTGTGTAACAATTTATAATACATACATCTTCTGTTATGACAGCTCCTCTGGCAGTGGCGGTTCTAGACCAATTTGACTGGGGGGGCCACTGGGGGGCCAGTTATTTTCTGAGGGGGGCACAATAAATGCACTGGCCCCCCCTGGAACCGCCCCTGTCCTCTGGTATGAAACGGCACTTATAGTCTCGATATAAAGAATGACATTCCTCAGTATTACCTGTGTCACAACATGTTTTCGCTGCTTCTACGATACTCTTATGTCACATGTCCTTTCAGCCTGTGCTTTATTTAGAGTAGAGTAGAGTATACATGACGAGTCCTTTACAAAACAAATAGACCAAT